CCATATTGCTATAAATAAATGACTGAACAAATTAGTACATGGGAGAAAAGAGACATATCTTCCATACAGAAGAGTTCCAAATAATTTATACAGATATCCCACCTTCAAGGAGGGGCAGTATGACTCACGACTTCTTAGGTATAGGCCGTGCAGAGTGACTTCCTTCTGAAGTGCACATTATGGAAAGGGGGGAAAAAGAGTATAGCGGAGAAATGACAAGCACTACCTCAGTCAGGTGATGAAGGCCAACATCAACAGTGATAAATCATGTTGCCAGTACATGCCCTTGATAAAATGTCATGAAAATAGCGTTTTGCCTGTGGTCTTCCTCCCAATAACCCATAATCCCAGTCTTGGGGGGAAAACATTAAATTCCAATGGTATGGTATCCTACAAAATATTTGATGGAATACTCCTCAAAACTGTTAAGGTCCTCAAAAACAAGGGAAATCAAAGAAACAGACACTGCCAAGAGGAGACTAAGGAAAACATGACAACTAAACATAACATGAGGAGGAAGTGTCTGGGTGGTTGAGTCAGTTAAGCGTCCAACTCTTGATTTAGGCTCAGGTCACAATCTCACACTTTTGTGAGTCCCATATTGGGCTCCACGCTGAGCGTGTGGCCTACTTGGGATTCTCTCTCCCTTTCTGCCCCTTTCTGACTCGTGCACATATGCACATGCATGTGTGTGCATGTGTGTGTGTGTGTATCTGTATCCACCCATTTCTCTCTCCCTTTCTCAGAAGCAAGAAAGCAAAAGAAAGAAAGAAAAGAAAGAAAAGAAAGAAAGAAAGAAAGAAAGAAAGAAAGGGAAAGAAAGAAAGAATAAAGAAATAAACATTAACATGGTATCCTGGATGGGATCTTGGAAAAGAAAATGTACACTGAATAAGAACTAAAGATATCTAGGGGCGCCTGGGTGGCGCAGTCGGTTAAGCGTCCGACTTCGGCTCAGGTCACGATCTCGCGGTCCGCGAGCTTGAGCCCCACGTCGGGCTCTGGGCTGATGGCTCAGAGCCTGGAGCCTGCTTCCGATTCTGTGTTTCCCTCTCTCTCTGCCCCTCCCCCGTTCATGCTGTGTCTCTCTCTGTCTCAAAAATAAATAAACGTTAAAAAAAAAATTTTTAAAAAAGAACTAAAGATATCTAAACTACAGCCTTTAGTTAATAATAATGTAATAGTACCGGCTCGTTAAATAATAAAAGAAGCTGGGTGTGGCACGGGAACTCTGCACTATCTTCTCAATTTTTCTGAAGATCTACAACTACAAAACATAAAATCTATTTAAAAAAAAAAATGTTAACAGTGATGATCTCCCTATAAGGGAAACGTTGGAAATTTATGCTTTTGTTTTTCTAATTCTCTGTACCACACACATTTTCTAAGATAAGCTCTATGCTGCTCTAAAAAGTGTATACATAAAAGATTTGGGTTTTTCCCAACTTGTTTCAGTACAAAACACTAGAACTGTGATTATAAATTTTAAAAGCAGATACTATTTATTAAATAGTTACAATTTGCTATGAATTGTATACGAAGAATTTTAACAATTATCTGTGTAATGAGCAGTATTAACTCCTTTTTAAAATGTGAAGAAATATGGGGTGCCAGAGTGGCTCAGTTGGGTAGGTGTCTGACTCCTGATTTCAGCTCAGAGTGATCTGTACTGCACAGTGCTTGGACTCTCTCACTCCCTCTCTCTCTTCCCCTTCCCTGCTCACTCACACTGTCTCAAAACAAATAAACTTAAAAAATAAAATAAAATGTGAAGAAACAGAACATCAGAAAGTTTAACTCATATAGTTAATAGGTGGCAGGTAAACAGACTCCAAAACATCCTTTTATTTCTACATAATATAGCTTCCCCACAATTACTTGTGCAGTACTTCATCAACTAATGCTAGTATATATACTATCTGAAAGCACTTCACAACAATGCTATGAAGTGAATTATAAAAAGCCATATTTATGTGAAACTGTGTCACAAGAAAAATGTGTGACAGGCACCACTGCAGTACTAACTCCACCAAAACCAGAAAACAAAATCTCCATCAGATTACACAACAAGCTGCATTACTATGTAAAAAACACAGTGGCTACCAAACCTACACCAAATAACTTTTAAGCACTACAGAGTTCTTGTTTAACCAGAAATTATCATGAATCATACCTTTTTCCTAGGTAATAAAGCAGTTCTTTCAAAATGTGTCGAGTCAAAGAACTAAAATTGAATATTCTCCTCACACTACTTTGAAATTCAAGAGATACTGAGGCTGACTTCTTGCTTTCATCAAGGCTTACCACCCCACTGCTCAAATTATTTCAACATGTGACAGAATTGATAAGCAGAATGAATAGCCTACATCTGTGCTTTTTATGATGCCATTTCATGATTCCTTAATTCACAGGGTGATTCAACTGAAGCTGAAGAATTTTAAGTAAATTGGTTTATTTTTAGGTAAACTGGTCTGTATCATGAAAATAACCCAAGAGCAGACTGCATGTGGGGCCTGAACAAGGGAAACCCAAAACCTGCCCAAAGAGTTACGTTATAACATCAATATGCATGAACAAGATCAACTATATATGGACAAGAGCCTGTCAAAAGGACACAAAAGCCAGATTGATGGGGTACCCACTGGCCAAATCTGGGACAACGCGAGCATCAAAGTAAAAATTCAACCAATAAAAAACCAAACAACCCAACTTCCAAAAACAGACAAAGGATCTGAATGGCCATTCTACCAATAAAGATATATGGGTACATGAGAAGATGCTTAACATAACTAGCCATCAGGGAGAAGAAAATTAAAACCACAGAAAAACACCACCATCCACCTATCAGTCTGGCTTTAAAACAACCTGACACCACCAAGCGGTGGTGAGGATGCAGAATAACTGAAATGTTCATACACTGCAGGCGAGAAAGCAAAATGGCACAAACCACTTCAGAAAAACAGTTTGGCAATTTTTTATAAAGTTAAATACATGTATACACTTATAATAGGATCCAACAATCCCATCCATACTTATTTACCTATGTAAAAGGAAAACCTATACAGAAATGTTCACAGCAGCTTTACTCCTAATCATCAAAACCTAGAAATTCAAATGTGCCTCAACAGGGGAATGGATAACTGGAACACTGTATTACTCAACATGAAAAGAAACAAACCTTGGGTGAATCTCAAGTGCACCATGCTGTGAAAACAGACTCAGAGACTACATACTGTATAATTTCATTTACGTATTTTGGAAAAAACAAACCATAAAGTCAGGGAACAGAACAGAAATTGCAGGGGTTGGGGGGATGGTTAAGGATGAGGGAAGGGCTTGAAAACAAAGGGGTAGCAAAGGGAATTTGCGGAGGGGGAAGGTTGGAGGAATGATAAAATTGTTCTGGAATTTGTGGTGGTAACTGTGTGAATCTACATGTATTAAAATTTATGGAACTGTAAATGACAAGACTGAATTTCATTGTCTTTAAGTTGAAAATAAATTTAAAAGGAAAAAATCAAGAAAAACCATGATTAAAAAGGAATAAATCCTCTAACTCCTTAAAACAGAAAACCAACTAACAACCTAAGAATGCTTAGGGACATCTGGACTAATCAACAGCACAAGTCTCCAGATACAAATGCACTGAGAATTTGGTATTACTTCTGGGAACTTGGTATTACCTCTAGTCCTGCTAAAAGGGTTTACCCTAAATCTAATCATGAGAAACCATCAAACAAGCCCAAATTGGGGTCATTTTACAAAATAACTGGCTTGGACTCTTCAAAAATGCCAATTACATAAAATGTAAAAACTCAAGAACTGGTCCAGATGAAAGAAGCCTAAAAAGAGATATGAGAACCCAGTGCAATGCACAATCTTAGATTTATTTTTTCTATAAAAGACTTCATAGGTGGGACAACTGACAAAATTTCGATATGGCCCACTGATTGGATATCACTATTGTGTCAATGTTAATTTTATGGTTTTGATCATTGTCCTATGGTTATGTAAGAAAATTTAATTAGAAAGAAAGCAAATGAGGTAAGCGTTGGCATTTGGCAAATCTGAGGAAAGGGTATCCAGGAATTCTTTGTACTATTCTTGTAACGGTCTGAAATTATATCAAAACTGAAAGTAAATTATTAAAAAAAGTAACATCCCTTGGACTAAAAATAACAGATCAAGTAATCTAAAGGATGGAATCAATATGAACAAATTTACTAAAATAGTCTAGAGAAAACACTGGCACTTACTCAGTATTGACTACAGAGGAGTATCTAGTCCTGACACTCAAGCCTGGAGTTCTAGATTCTACTATGGCAAGGATAAGCTTGATGCTGTTAAATTATACAAGCAATTCTCCCTTAACTCTTTGCATGCTCATAAAAAGACTTCCACCTATAAAACAACACCTTCAAGTGGAGATCTGGCTACAAAAGAAGATAATTCATCATACTGACTTAGAAATTACTCATATTTATAAACTGGGTTATAAATCAGCTTCTTGAAAATTTGATTAATACCAGCCTTCCCAAATTGTATCAACTCCGGGACATGAACAAGAGTATTTGGGGACCCATAGCCTGGGAACCATACTCTTAAAATGGTAAGTTTATCAAGGCTGTGTAACTGTGAGGGCTCCTGGCTATCACCTTTTCTATTAGCTACATTCCTTCACCTCGTCATAGCCTTCTTTCAACCAAGAAGTTTCATTACTCATAAAGACAACATCAAAGAGAATAAGACTAAATAAGTTCAGCAGGAAACTATATTTTTAGTGGGAAAATCATGAAAAGTACTCAAATAATTTCACCTGGGAAAACTGCATAAGATACTATCATTTAAATATGACACTAATACAATCACTTTAAGGACACACAAAAAAGGGGAAAATGTTTTTATTTCATGCTTCTTAAAGTCTTGACATACAAGAAGTAAACCAAACCACAAGTGAAAACTTTAAATATGCAGAGAGAACAGGAGCCACTATAAAAACTTCAGGCCTTTATCCATAACTTCAGAACTGGGGAGTCTAATCTTAAAAAAAGGAAAATGCTCCATTCAGCACTCACTTAATTGCCTTATTTAGTGGTATTCCTAGAGTTTATGAATTAGCTCTTGGTTCTGGCATACTTAGTAAGTCTGATATTGCTTATAGAAATAGGATCTTAATACTTCATTCTCAGAACACTTTAAAATTCAAGCCAATGTTTTTCTTTCAAAGAGTGGAAGGTATTTCTCATTCAAGTCTGATTCACGGTTTTATAAAGCATAAAGATCATTTTCATTATTTCATCATGTATATGCTGGATTCAAATATTCTTTTTGATGGTGATCTACTCAATGACAGAAAACTTAATATGAAGAAAATTCCTTCCTTCTCAATTTGTAAACCAAAACTTTAAAAGCAAAAATGTTTGAAGTGATAGGAAGACATTTTTATGACATAAGCTACTGCTCTAAGCTGCTGGCCTGAGCAAAAATAACGAAAGTACACATTGTTAACCTTTAAGTAGTCTATGTTTGCTACAAATCCATACATATTTTAAACATATTTTCTTCTGCAATAAAAATCAAGATAATCCCCAATTTAACAGCTTTTGAAGATGTTAACATTTTGAATAAAATAACTTCTCCCGAATGTCCAGGAATAAACTGAACCACAACTTACCTACCCCAATGACATAAAAATGATCAAAGTACATAAAAAGTTCCTATTAAAAATGATTCTTCATATGCACTTTTACTAAAGCAATCAATGCAAAATGAATGTAAAGCTCGTTGTACGATTCAAGATTTAGGTAACCTCCAAATAATCACAACTTTTAAGATTTGAAATCCAGTGCTACAGTATGGAAAAGAGTAGGGTCTCCTAAAAAGGCAAACTTATAAAATTCCACACGCAAAATGGCCTAAATATCTGTAATAATTACATTCTCCATAATCTTTTATCTAAAACTTCAAAGCCATCAATCTCTTTCAGTGCTCTGAATGAGCAATCAAAATAGTCCCATTTATTCAAGTTTAAAACTAAATTTCTCCTCTCTCAATATGGAAGCACAAATGGAATAGACAATAAAAGTTATTTTGTCCAACATCCTGAGCCTACAGATATGGAAATCATCTACAACCCAATCTCATTGTGTCATCATCGATTCACCTTCTTCACCAGTAGCATCTTGGGAAATATGAAGGTCTTCAAGCATCTCAGCCAGACTAATTCGAGGTGCTCCTTCATCATCCGTGTCACTTTCCACAGGAATGGTTGAATCTAAAAAAATACAAGGAGGATTTCAAATACAAATATGAAAATATACAAAATGCCTGCCTCTACCATCTTTACTATCATTTAAACATTATATTAGCAGTTCTTGTACCATATCTAGAGCAGGCATTTATATTCACTAAATGACTGAACTGCATAAATATATAAATAAATATCCACTAGTATAGAGATCAGGAACTTGAAGGGTCATGCTTGGATACAATGATATCAAATATGATCAGGCAAACAACATTTTAATAAGTCCTACTGTTCTGCAAGTGTTTTTATTTTTTGCAAATGTTTAATTAGAGGACTTTTAAAACCACACAGTAAAAGTCATTTATGGAATGAAAGTTTAAGATACCAAAATACTTATACGGGGTTAACATATCTATACAAAAGCAAAAGATGCAACTTAAATCAAACACTCGTAAAACACTAACCTCTATAAATGTTTACATTTTTTCTAATTGCCTCATCTTCTTCAAGATCTTCAAGGAAATCTTGGTATTGCCTACAGAAGAATAAAGAAACATTTAAATATTTCATCTTTACCAAGACAGTATTGAGTTGTTTTCATTTTCAGCACTGTAAGATAAATGTGTTCCATGTATGAAAATCTTTAAAAATAATAACTGAAGGTCAAATATGGATGTTAATTAAATAGTCTGACAAATTTAAAAAAATATTTTCTTTCAAAATTACATGATACATACACAATTGGGGTGCCTGGGTGGCTCAGTCCACCTCTTGGACTTAGCATGCAACTCCTGATTTCAGCTCAGGTCATAATCTCACAGTTTGTGAGTTTGAACCCTGCATTAGGCTTGCACTGACAGCACGGAGCCTGATCATGATTCTGTATCTCATTCTCTCTCTCCCCCTCCCCTGCTTGCACTCTCTTTCTAAAAATAAATAAACTTTAATGTCCCTCCCCTCAAGTCATATGGCTAAGTTAAAATACATGCACTTTTAAGTCTATAGATGAAATAACCAAATATGTACTTATAATATCTAATTTAACATTATATATTTATAAATACTTACTTTAAATTACATTATGAGACTCTATTTTGCTATTTACCACTCACATTTCATGACACAATTTTATTTAAACTCATTTTTTTAGACAGTGTCTTAACCATTATTAAAACCATTTTTCAATCATCCAATATAATTTTCTAGAACCCAACATCTTCATTTCTCCTTAAGTTGTTTGAAAAACAGCATATTTAGAACAATCTGAGGGTTGATGGGGGTGGGCGATGGGTACTGAGGAAGGCACCCGTTGGGAGCACTGGGTGTTGTATGGAAACCAATTTGACAATAAATTTCATGAAAGAAGAGAAAGAAAGGAAGGAAGGAAGGAAGGAAGGAAGGAAGGAAGGAAGGAAGGAAGGAAGAAAGGGAGAGAGAGAAAGAAAGAAAGAAAGAAAGAGAGAAAGAGAGAGAGAGAGAGAAAGAAAGAAAGAAAGAAAGAAAGAAAGAAAGAAAGAAAGAAAGAAAGAAAAACAAACAGCATATTTGATATTAAAGGGCTATTTTCTTTTCATCTGGAGTCATAAGTACTCACTTGCTATTTGCGATATCCACAATGTAATTACTAATGTTAACTTTTCAAATGTGTTGTTTACAACAATGTTGCAATTCTCAGGTCAAAACCCAGGAAATAATAATCAAATCTGTTAAATATCATTATATCCTCCCTACATTGATTCGATATCCTCTTACACTGATTCAATTAACACAATAAGAATACAAAATTAACACTGAATGGAATAATCATGTGATGACTATATAAAATATAAAAACTATAAAGATTTATTGTAAGGATTTCCTTTGAGACAACATATAAGGTTTAAAGAAAAGTAGGACCTTTCATCATCTGTATCCATGTTTTCTCTCTCTCTTGCAAGCTCTTTCAGTTTCCAGTTTCTACGACGCTGACGTTTGGTACGGTCATAGTTCTTCTTGATTAACACCTAAAAGTAAAAGAAATATTTGCAAAGGTACAAAAAAATGGGAACTAAATAACGGGGCCTCCAAGTCCAATAAAGTAAAAAGAGAAAGATTCTGAGAATGCCAAAAAGTCACCAAACTGATGAGTGGTTACATCTTAGGGGAAAAAAAAATAGGGATCAAGAGGCAGGGTCAAGAGAACTTTTAACATTTTTCTTCATGTACTCAGTATTTTATGAAAATGCAGTCAGCCATCGTTTGCATAAGTGTTATAATTTACTAATGAAATTTTCCAGTGACTAAAAATTAAACTGCTTTTTTATACCCAAAACTTCAAATTTCTGATGTCTTAATCATCCTGAAATATTATCACAAGCAGGCATTTTTCCTTTTATTACTACTAATAAGCACTTATAGAAGTACATATATCTTTCACAAATGTATGTCCTAGGGCAGTTTAAAAAATTGTGGAATAAGTGAAAATAATTTACACAATGCAAAATCTTCTATGACCATCTTAATCTCCTCTTACAACCTTGTTAGACTTTTATCTAAACTATGCTTCTATTTCCTAATTTACTAATCAATAAAAGCACAACTGGGTGGTGAGAAGGGGAGTCCTTCTTATATCCTGACTTTATTTTTACCCACAGCTAAAGAGATTAGTGTTTATTTTAAAAGATAAGTCAAGCAGGAGATAAAGTCTTTCCCATTTCATATTCACTCTTGTTCATGATCCTAATAAACTCATGTTAGTATTTAACAGTTTTTTTTTCAGAAGTAACATTCTTTCTCTAAGACTCAACACTGTAAAGATTATTTTCAACTGCAATTATAGTTAAGCCTGAATAACCTGAATAATGGTTTGTTTGTTTGTTTTTTTAATTTTTTTTTTTAACGTTTATTTATTTTTGAGACAGAGAGAGACAGGGCATGAACGGGGGAGGGTCAGAGAGAGGGAGACACAGAATCTGAAACAGGCTCCAGGCTCTGAGCTGTCAGCACAGAGCCTGACGCGGAGCTCGAACTCACGGACCGCGAGATCGTGACCTGAGCCGAAGTCGGCCGCTTAACCGACTGAGCCACCCAGGCGCCCCTGAATAATGGTTTAAATTCTAAACGCCTTAACTGAACAATATATGAAATAAGCTAAGCCTAAAAGAATGAACCTAAATTAAGTTCTAAAGGTCATCATTTTTAGCTGCAAATTTATTTTTGCTCTACGGATGGTACCAAGCCATTCTGACAGAGAGTGAAAATTCGATTATAAGATTATAAGAGCAACAAAAAAAACTCAATAAATCTTGGATTTTCTCCTCAAAGACACATGATTAAACATTAAGGCTTTTGCCATTACACCTTAACTCCAATTTCAAAAGAAACCTCTAAATAGATTTTATTTTCATAAATGTGAACTCGTGCATCTTACCCATAAGAGTTATCAATCCTCTTTAACACAGGAAAAAATCTAAAGCCTTACCACATCTGGGACTCTATCTGAGTTCATTTTGTTGACATGCTCATCATTTAAGTTACAGTTGGCCAAATCAAATCTGAAATAAAAACAATTAAACACTTAAGGACAGAAACATTTATGCTTTCCACATTACTTTTTACTTTATTTTAATTTTATGGAATTTAGAGTTCCTAAGATTAACATTTAATATGCTTTTCCACATTAAAAGTTTTGCAGTTTACTATACAGTGAACATGCCTTTATAGATACTGGTAAAGACAAAATGCACTGCTATCTGTGAGTTTCATGTATTACCCATCACTGTCCACCTTATCATATTGCAAAAGAATCAAAACAGACATAGATCAGTACAACATTAAGAATTCAGTTAGATGGTTCCATTTAGTTTACTAAAAAAAATGATTCTTTAAAAAGATGGCCAAAATGGAATAACTATGAGCTTTTATCCAATCCAGTTTAATTTAGCTACCAATAAGCAAACTCTAACGCTCCTAAACTCTTAAATTCTTTTTGGAATAAACAGCTTTAGTATTTTAGATGGCTTTGCTGGATCCCAAAGAAAATTTGCAATGTCACTCGCCAGTTTAAAATACTATAGTACTTATAGGAGCCCCAGGGTGGCTCAGCTAGTTAAGTATCCGACTCTGGACTTCAGCTTAGGTCATGATCTCAGGGTCTTGAGTTTGAGCCCCATACTGGGCTCTGTGCTGCACTGGGCATGGAACCTACTTAAGATTCTCTCTCCCTCTCCATCTGCCCCTTCCCCACTCATGTGTGCATGCTCACACTCATAAAAGAGAGAAGGGGAGGGGAGAGGAGGGGTGGGGAGGGGAGGGGAGGGGAAAGAAAATACTATAAAATAATACAAACCCCAATACCAGGTCTCCAGGATTTAGAAGATGTCCCAAATGAGTGCGACAGAAGTACTGTTTATCTGTATTCATTTCGGATGTTTTCTGTACCCAGACTTCCCCAAGCATATGCTTGACAGGAAAGAAAATGCACTCTTCAATAATCCAGGCATAAATCAAAATGCATCTCACAAAAACTATATACAATGTTGATTTTGGTTTTCTAAATTTTCATTTTAAAGACAGCAACTGTTTTATTTTTCAGATCTCTGAAACATTGTCAAAATTAACAAATTACTGTATTAAATACAGAAAAACTCAAGGAATACATAAAATAAGTATGTTTATTAAGATTTTATTCAAAGCTTTATAAAACATTAAGAATCTCATCTAAATACAGATATATATAGAATTTTCAAAGCAAATGTTTTCACAGGGAGATAGGCAATACAAAGAGCAAAAAGAATAACTGAAAAAGTACAAGAATCTTAACTCTAGAAAATATCCTAAGCAACCCCTTATTTTATACATAAGGTTCAAAAAACCAAGGTTCAGACAAAACATTCTAGCAATCCCAGTGGCGGCACAATCCCAGTAGCTGCTGCTGCTGCTGCTGCTGCTGCTGCTGCTGCTACTACAGAACCCAAATCTTTATGAAATTAATTTTTTAGACGTCTACTATTTGAGCTATAACCCTTTTTTTCCTTAATACCTATTGCAGAAACAACATTCCAAGTTTGAAATTTTAAACTAGCAACAATTAAAGTCCCTTTCCAAGATAGGATTTTACAAGCAATTATAATTGACATTTCAAATTTCTAGGCTGAATTAAGTACAGCATTTGCCAATACTTTTTACTAACAAAAAGAGACCTAAGTAAAATGGGATCAAGAGGGAAAAAACTAGGAGTAATAAACAGAGGAATTAAGGAATCTCAGGCGAAAAGAGACAGAGGGAGAAATGAAAAATGACAGGTCCCAGATTTAGGAAAGAACTGGAAAAAAAAAAAGTGAATCCCTAGTTTCTTCAAAACTAAACATTCATTACCAAATGATATGACAAAACATGCTCCTTGGTATTTACTTACCCAAAGGAGTTGAAAACTTGTCTACACAAAACTGAAAACACAAGGATGTTAATACAACTTTATTCATAATGGTCAAAACTTGGAAGCAGCCAAGATGTCCTTCACTAGGTGAATAGGCAAATAGGCGTGGTAAATCCACGCAATGAAATATTATTTGGTACTTAAAGATTATACGATTCCAACTATATACAATTATGGAAAAAGCAAAACTACAGAGACAGTAAAAAGATCAGTGATTGAGATTAGGAGAGAGGGGAAGGACGAACAGGCAGAGAGCACAGAGGATTTTTAGAGCAGTGAAAATCCCTTTATGACACTATAGTGAGGGACACATGTCATCATCAAACATTTGTCTAAACCCATAAAATGTACAATATTAAGAGAGAAACATAATGTAAACTACCAACTTTGCATGGTTATCATGTATCAATGTAGACTCATCAATTGTAACAAATGTACCACTCTCATGGGTGGATACTGATAATGGAGGAGGCAATAGCATGTATATGCCCTGCATGTATATGCATGGAGTATATGGGACATCTCTTACTCCTCATAATTTTGTGGTGAACCTAAAACTGCTCTAAAAAAGTACAAGACTTTCAAAAACATTTTTTTAAGAACTCAGGAGCTCCCACTGGCTAAATATGGGGCAGTCTGAATGGGAGGAAAGAAGGAAGACAGGCAGGCTAATAACAATGGGAAAAAAGTCATAACATTATTATGAAGAGATCTGGCTATCAGTGAAACAGCCAAACGCTACTATGACTTGATACATCATAAAAGATGCACAGCAACACTTCTGAAATGTTCTGGCCAAAAATAAACTAAGTTTAAGAAAGCCTCTTAGATCCACTTTTCATTAAAAGAAATTAAAAAGAAAGCTAAATGACATCATGAGGAAACAATAAGAGATCCATAAGATAAATGCCCCAGTTGCCTTAGGAAGTTATAAAAAAAAAAA